TATGTAAACAGTAACAACGCTACTTTTATTTGCTGGTCATTACTTAGGTCAGGTGGTGGAGATAGTTGTCACCAAGAAGAGATGACTACTTTATTATAAGGAATTGCTTGCTTTCTTTTTCATTCGGTATGCGGCAGAGCTAGCTAGCTAGTGTTTCTTACTAGAAAGTATAAAGTGTGTGTGATACTAACAGACACCGAGAACGAGAGGGATCTATCTATCTATCTGGACGCCTCTCCTTATCCTCAACTAATGATATTTATGCAATGTATGTTGAGCATCAGCTGAGGTAAGCAGCCTAGCAACAATAAGTCTTTGTTCAATTGCGTGACTCACCCTCATCAACCCAACTGATACATGCATTCAGGTGTGCCTTTTAATTTCCTTCTGTCTTTCAGGATGGGGTGTTAGCTAATCTACTGCCACCTTGTGAGAACACAGCAGAGGAAGGCGGCGCCGACTTAGCTGTCTGCTGTGTGTGAACACAGCAAGGGAAGGCGGCGCCGACTTTGCCCCCTGCTGTGATACAGTAGCCGCTGTAGGTGCAGGCGCCGCACGGCTCACCTACAAAGATCAGAGGGAACAGGCAAAGGGCCAGCGCGTAGGTCAGCCCCATCCGGTTTATCTATTTACTGTGCCAGCATGGGCGCTGCACATGGACTAGATAGTTAGAGTTGTATAAATAGACATGTATGGCAACTCAGTAAAGAGAGCTCAGATTTACCATCACACAGACAGGGCTTCGGCCAACGCTGTTGCCTTGTATTGTGCGTGCTTGCTCTGTTCTCCCTTCCTCTTCTAGCTCGATCCGTAGTGTGTGGGTACGGACAACGCCGGTACGTGGTCTGCACGGCTAGTGGGTGCTCGGCAACACTAGCGCGTGCTCGGCGAGACCGACAAGTGCTCCACTCGCCTGAGCCGGTGGTCGGCAAGATCGGCTGGAGTGGTTCACTGTCGTGAGCCGGTGATCCTGTGAGACCAACGGAGTGGTCTGGAGATCATCTCAGTGGTCGGGAGGCTAACCGTGGGCCAACAAGTGGTATCAGAGCACTCCCGTGGCGGAGCCAAGACGTCTTACTGTGGTTCCGACCACTCCAAGACTGAGGCTGGGCACTCCTACAGTGTGGCCGAACACTGCAGGAGTTATGACGAAGCGATCGAAGCGATGCCGAGCACTTCAAAAGCTATCAGGGGGCACTCCGGCGGAAGAAGGAACTCCATCACCCCTGATCGAGTTCGCCTCACCTCCAAGTGACATCACTGAGTTCGTGGACGCCTACCACGAAGGTGAGGAGTTGAAGTTCCGCAGGCTGGACGACATTGTCAGCGGCACAGGTCCCTCAGGTATGGCGGGTAGGCTGCTCAACGACGCAGAGCTGCTACTCGTCAGTGCAGAGGAACCACCCACGTTCGCGCTAGCCGAACGCGATGGAAACTGGCGACGGGCAATGCTGGAGGAGATGAAGGCGATTGAGGAAAACGAGACTTGGTAGCTCGTCGATCCACCCCGTGATGCCGTCCGATCAGCTCGAAGTGGGTGTACAAAGTCAAAAGACGAGCTCGGCGCCATTGTCAAGTACAAAGCGCGCCTACCGTCGCCGAGAGCTTTTGTCCAAATAGCGAGGGCATCGACTTCGAGGAGGTCTTTGCACCAAGATGCGCGCGCGCGTGGAGTCGGTCCGCTTGCTACTTGCTTTGGCGGCAAAAAGGATCGGCGCGTCCATCACATGGACGTTAAATCGGCCGTCCTCAACGGCGAAGCTGGTGGAAACAGATCTTCGTCGAGGCAACCTCCGTGGTTCGTTGTCAAGGGAGAGGAGCACGTGGTGCTCCGATCGCAAAAAAAGCGCTCTGGTGGCCGAGGCAAGCCCTCGAGCATGGAACGCCAAGCTTGACACCACGCCGGGCGAGCTTGGGTTTCAGAGGTGTGCAACCGAGCACGCGCTTCTACACGCCGACGATGGGAAGGAAGAACTCGTGGTCGGCGTGTATGTGGATGACTTAATCATCACCGCGCGCGCGACGACGGAGAATATCAACAGCTTCAAGCGAGAGATGGCAGCTCGTTTCCGAATGAGCGATCTCGGCGCTCTCTCCTACTACCTCGGCATCGAGGTGAGACAGGGGAAGGAGGAACTCACGCTCGGGCAAAGCGCGTATGCCTCCAAGCTGTTGGAGAGGAGCGGCATGGTGGAGTGCAAGCCATGCGTGACTCCGATGGAGGAGCGGCTGAAGCTGACGAAGGATAGCACCGCGGCGAAAGTAGATGCAACACTCTACCGGAGCATCGTCGGCGGTCTGCGCTACCTAGTCCACACAAGACCAGACATTGCGTTCACCGTGGGCTACGTCAGTCGCTTCATGAAGGATCCCAGAGAGGATCACTGGACTGCGGTAAAGCGGCTACTACGCTACGTCAAGGAGACGGTGAATCATGGAATCATCTTCCCAAAGACTGGGGGAAGTAGGCTGCAGCTCACGGTGTTCAGCGATGCAGACATGGCGGGGGACATCGACGGACGACGGAGCACCTCTGGCGTACTCGTCTTCCTCGGGTCAGCCCCAATTTCATGGCTGTCGCTGAAATAGAAGGTGGTAGCGCTATCTACGTGCGAGGCAGAGTACGTAGCGGCGGCCACAGCGGCGTGCCAAGTTGTGTGGCTACGCCGACTGCTGGGTGAGCTAACCGGCGTGGAAGCTCACCCACCAGCACTGATGGTGGACAACAAGCCCGCCATCGCCCTCGCAAAGAATCCGGTTCTGCACGACCGGAGTAAACACATCAACGTGAAGTTCCACTTCCTCAGGGACTGTGTTGATGGAGGGCAGATCGTCATCGAGTTTGTCGAAACTAGTCGGCAACTCGCGGACGTCCTCACCAAGCCGCTCGGAAGACTTCGACTCACGGAGCTGAAGGAGATGATTGGCATGGAGGGGTTACAAGGGTTAGCAGTAGAATTAGGGGAAGATTGTTAGCTAATCTACTGCCACCTTGTGAGAACACAGCAGAGGAAGGCGGCGCCGACTTAGCTGCCTGCTGTGTGTGAACACAGCAAGGGAAGGCGGTGCCGACTTTTGCCCCCTCGCCGTGATACAAGAGTCAGCCAGAGTAGTGTGTGCGCCAGCACGGCTCACCTACAAAGATCAGTAGGAACAGGCAAAGGGGTGGCGCAGCAGGTCAGCCCACGTGTTATCTAGTTATCGTGGTCAAAGATGGGCGCTGCACATGGACTAGATAGTTAGAGTTGTATAAATAGACATGTATGGCAACTCAGTAAAGAGAGCTCAGATTTGCTATCACACAGACAGGGCTTCGGCCAACGCTGTTGTCTTGTATTGTGCGTGCTTGCTATGTTCTCCCTTCCTCTTCTAGCTCGATCCGTAGTGTGTGGGTACGGACAACGCCGGTACGTGGTCTGCACGGCTAGTGGGTGCTCGGCAACACTAGCGCGTGCTCGGCGAGACCGACAAGTGCTCCACTCGCCTGAGCGGTGGTCGGCAAGATCGGTTGGAGTGGTTCACTGTCGTGAGCCGGTGATCCTGTGAGACCAACGGAGTGGTCTGGAGATCATCTCGATGGTCGGGAGGCTAACTGTGGGCCAACATGGGGCACAAATTTCAGAGTACGTACGATCATTAGGCTTCAGTCTTGTGGAATTCTCAACATATAAGTTGGAGCATGTATATATATACATATATATATGTACTGTATATTAACGGAGCCCGTCTACTTCGTCCACAATAATTTGGTCAGCCAAATGCTAATATGCATGTTATTTAGAAAAAAGGAGGGCAATAAAAGATCTCCGTCAAATAGCAAAATATATAATGGATCCGAATCTTCTCCTTCTCTTGCGCCGCGAATGTCTTTTGTCCTTCTCAACATCCAAAGATCTAATAAGGCCAGCAACGCTAAACTCTTGCCTCTTTTACTTTTGATAAGTGACAAAATCCGGCCACGATGATGGCAACTTTGTAATAATTCTTCTTGTCACAAACTTATGCGGCAAACATACATGGAAAATTCTCAAATTCTTTTGCCAGTGTCCGAATCTCATGAGCTCTCTCTGCTATAGAACGGTCATTGACAATCTTGTAGTCATATAGAACTACTCTATGACAGTCTTGTAGTCAACAAACCAATTGTTCTTGTGTGCCATCTCTTATAGTCCGTTCCTTTGAACACGTTTGGATAAAGTGCAACAGCAAAATCAGTAGAGCCGAAAATGACGAGTAATTTGGAGAATTTTTTTTATTCCTAGAATGAAAATTATTGTGGAACGAATGGAGTAGCTAGCTAGGCTAGCTCGCTCGCGCTCTTGGAGTCTTTGGTTGCCCTGTCGTGTGTCATTTCCTGATTTGGACTAACATTGTTTTGCGGTGTGTGGCGTGCGTGCAACACCAACCAATGCAAACGAGGCATTCAATGCAAATCGATCGATCGTAAGAGTAAAGCAAGGAATCTTCTTGTTACGACTTTTAATTAGCATTGTCGTCCTCCTGCACCCTTGCCTCTGCCTCGCTATAAGAGACGACGACTTATCGACTGCACATACTGACATGCATATATATCCATGGCAAATATATAATAATATAATCTCGATCAAGGGGGTGATCGAGCATGTATGGATCGGATTGGAGTTATATATATTAGCTGGTTGATAGCTAGTTTGTTAGTGATGATCTTCTTCGATCAGTATATAGCAGCTAGTATGTAACTAACTAAAAGCTAGAGCTATGAAATGAGCAAGAACGACTGAAAGCTTTAATTTAATTTGCAGGCAGCATATATAAATACATAATCCATTCTGCACAGACACGTACGACGTACGTATACAAGTTCATGCTTTAATTAATCCTATATATGTACACATACAAACACACGAATACTCGCAGTATGATGAGAGGAAGCTAGGTAGTAGGTGATCCAAGGCAGGCAGGCACAGACATCTGATTATATATATTGTGATCACGGCCGGATCGTCAGCTACCTTGCCTGCCTAGTTGCCGAGCTCGATCCGGACGCCGATGGCGACGAGGAGGACGGCGTCGAGGGCGAAGAAGAGGATGGTGTGGACGACGATGGAGGCGACGCTGGTGTGGAAGTTGCCGAAGGCGATGAGCCGCGACTTGGCAGGCATCTGGAAGAGCAGCCCTGGGGAGAGCAGGGTGAAGAGCACCAACGAGATGAACACCGGTGCCCAGTCCTGCATCTTCTCTTCCTTCCCCGATGATTCTTCTTCTAGGCTTCTAGGTAGCTACCTAAGGTGTACGTGTTCCTCTCTCTCTCTCGATCTCTCGATCTGAAGATTGCTAGACTGCAGGATGACTGAATGATTCTACATACATGATACATGCATGCGTCTATGCCTATGGCTCGCTCGCTCTAGAAATAAATTGTGTGATAATGAAGACGGAGGCCGGCTAGGTAGTAGCTTTTTCTTGCTGTGACGACTGACGACCGTGACGTTACTCATATGGCGCGGTTCCCAACAATGCAATAGCATAGAAATGAACCTTCTATACATGTGTAGTCCATTGGATGAACAAACCAACGGTGGACAGATCGATCGTGGGCCATTTCAACCCAAGTGTGGTTGTTGTAAAGCTTCTTTGGGACGGAGTACAAAAAGGAGAAAAAGACACTGCGCTCCCTCCCATACCATACCACGCACTACTCCAATTCCGTCCATTACGAATGAAATCAGTCTCAAATTAATTAAACTAGTAAGGTTATCCGCGCAAATTGCATGGATACCTAGATTTTTCTATTAATTTATTTTTTGTTTGAGAGTGTGTTTTTAAATAGTTTTGTTTGTATTTGATTCTAATTTCGTCCATCCACCCGTACGGTGCTGATGGTAGACCGCGACGTAGCCCAACGGCTGCTCATCCACTCGCCCTCGCCCCCAACCGTTCTAAAAAAAGGAAAAGACATTCTTATCCCTTCATTCCGCTCTCTCCTCTTCACCACAGTGCTTTGTGGCTGCCACCCCATCCGCCCCGTCCCAAACACGGATGCCACCTCTGCCTCACTGCTGCCGCACGTCCTATCCGACGTCGCTCGCTCGCCCCCGTCGCGAGTGCTTCTCGCCCCCTCCCGTCACGCGCACTGGTGTTGCTGGTGGTCGCTTCGCCTGTCGCGCGCGCCGCTCGCCCGGCCGAGCCAAGACCGGTGCTGGTGGCGCTGGTAGCGGTGTTGTGCGCCGCTAGTGCTAGTGAGCCCGCCCGGCGGAGCCAAGCCCGTTGCTGGTGGCGGTGGTGCTCGCACACCACTACTCCCTGCCAGCTGCAATCGACCGACCCTGGCCTTCCCCTCGTCCCTATGTTGCATATATATGTTTCAGACATTTCAGATGTATGCTGCAATTGTTCCATTTTGATGTTGCAAAACAATACTGAAAATATCCACTTTTATGATAAAAATGTTAATGACGAATCCAAAACCGTCATAAAAGAGCGCTTTTTATGACGAATATTTCGGTTTCGTCATAGATCGGTGGTGAAGATCTTGCAATCCTCCCTTTCTTTGACGAAATCAGGCATCGTCAAAAAACGTTATAGAAGAGCGCAAGGTTTCATCACAGATCGCTCGTGCGACTCATCTATGATGATCTCCTTTAAAACTGTGACGAATAGGGCTTCGTCATTGAACTAATTACACATTTGTGACGAACAATTTTTGATCTGTAACGAACGGCTTCATCATAGATCTTCACACGGTACTTTCTCCATCCGACGTGTACTTGTGGGACCTGCAGTTACTCATCCGTGACACTTGTAATTCGTCATAAAAGTCTCTGCTCGAACATATCTCCATGTGACGTGTACCTGTGGGACCCTTCTCCATCCGACGTAAACCTGTGGGACATGTAGTTACTCATCCATGACACTTGCAATTCGTCATAAAAGTCTTCGCTCGGTCCTTTCTCTATCTGATGTGTACGTGTGGGACCCTTCAGCATCTGACCTGTATGACCCGATGGCTTACGTGTCATGTGTACCAGTGGGACCGTTCTCCATCTCTATCCGACCTGTGGGACCCGACAGCCCATCTCCATCCCAACCTGTGGGACCCTACGGCCCATCTTCATCCGACCTGTGGGACCCGACGGCTTGTGTGTCAGTTGATGCTTGCAATTCATCATAAAAGTCTCTGCTCGGTCCTTCTGCATCCGACCTATGGGACCCGACGGCTTACGTTTCACGTGTAACCTTTCTCCATCTCCATCCGACCTGCGGGACCCGACGGTTTGCGTGTCACTTACCATATATGCCATCGGGGTTTAATTTCTCAAAAAAAGGTCTGATACCTGGGAGTCGAACACAGAATCTAGACCAAGGATTGGAGCGTCTTTACCATTGTGCTAGGCGCCTGGCTGTGCTGATATCTCTTTAGAGTCGCTATAGTATCCTATTGGCTATGTTACAGGTTGACCTAAATTGGATATATCCCTATAAGTGGAAACAAATCTATGCCCATTGGACTTGCGGTGGCGGAGAAGGCAGAGGATCCCTGCTCTACTGTGGTGGCTCAGGCGTCCTTTTGGTGGCGTGGCAGGGCTCTCCCGGTGGAGCGTGGCGGCATTGGCGTCCGCGTGATCAGGTGTGTGCCATAGCAGAGGCAGCTTGTAGCCGAGCCATGCCAGTTCATAGAACAAAGGTATGCGTACCTTCTTCTGTGATTATAGGACTCTATTTTCTGTACACGATAAAGTAAAGAACACATAAAGAAAGGCTATTCTGTATGAATTTCAATTGAAATCAATGCTTTTGTCACACAAAAATAGAAAACCAGATGGTTCCATAGTATGATATGAACAAATACATAGATTAGTGCTCTCGAACACTGTATGCTTTGTTCTAATGCTAGTTGTTTACACCAAAATTTGGTAAGCTTATCCTGGAAAGGAAGAGATCGGCCGATGATGTCAAAAGCAAGAAAGTTTCCTAATTAAGGAATATTTATAAGCCGGCCAGGAAATATTATTTAATAAATTTGATAGAGACATGATGTCCAGGTGCATATCAGAATAAAGGAAACAAGGACACGTATCAAACAAGGAAGCTTTATCAGCAAGGATTCTGAATATGGGAAATTAGAGTCCATGTATCTTGATATTTCTTTTCGTTATCTAGTCGTGTTCGTTTATGACTCTTATCAGCCTAGGGTATAAATATAAACCCCCGGCTATTGTATCAAAACACACAATCAATCAAATACAAGTTACTTACTTTTTTTGCTTCGGCCACCCTTTAGGAGTAGGAGTAGAGTAGATCTCGGCGAGTTCTTCAGCAAGTACGGCTGCATCGATCCGGTCGACCTCCACTACTTGTCTGTAAGTACCGTCATGGCTTATACCTCTATTCATACGGCTGCATCGATCCGGTCGACCTCCACTGCGACTCTGGTATAAGTTAGTTATCGACTCTTGTCTAGTTCAAGTATGGCTGCATCGATCCGATCGACCTCCACTGCTCGAACTAGATTAAGGTCAAGTTATCGGCTCTATCTAAGGGTAGCGTTCCTTTGGATAGATTCATTAAGTTACCGATATTGCTTGTTGCTTCCATTATTTACTTAATTATAGCAATATCACTTCGCCCGATTGGGATTGATCTAGATCGGCCTTATATCTTTGTTAACCCATCATTTGTTAATCTAAACTAATCTAATTTGCACTTTAAATGATGAGTTATGTTTTATCGGCTGTTTTACATCAATCTTGATCGTGCATAGCGTGCGGTTAAGGGATGTTTAATCTTGAGTAGATCTATTGGCTAGCGAAAACCGTTCCATAGCCCGTTATCACGACATGTGTGATTCTGCCTCACACCCCATTGTTAGCACCGTGGAGTGGGAATCGTTATTTGGTAGATCTGTTCCTGAGAAGGCATGATCTTAACTGTGCGCTATGCCTGAATCAGCTGTTTTAGCCGATATCGAGCGCTTTCACGAACAGTTCGCATCATGAGATCATTGAAGTAGCGATAGGTTGAAAGATATGTTGGCCCCATAATTTTATTATTGTATTACGGCCTGCATGATTCTGCCTCATGCCCCACTGATATTAGTAATAAGTTAGGGTCGTCGAGACTATTGTTGTTTCTATGGCTTGCATGATTCTGCCTCATACCCCACTGGTTAGAGCGATAGATGAGATCTAATATGTTCATTAGATTTATTTCTATTAAATGGTTGAATGATGATGAACTGTTTCTTTCATAGAAAGGGGTTCTGTTACTTGTAGTCATTGGCTTAGCATGAACTAATTACTATTGATATCTTTTTGCCAGTGACTAATATTTGCCTAAACAATGATATTCATTCAGAATGATAACTGATTCTTCTTATATAACCCCATGAGCTTTAACCGATTTATTCTTATGAATATGCTGGAATCGACTATTTAGTCGATCTCCTTTCATATCGGCTCTCAGAGCCGCACATTCGGAACTGTCTGGCAACACCGGCATGTTCCACCCTTAATTACTGATAAACTTTCTCTCCTTATCAATTGTAGGGTCAAATTGATTGCCATGTCTCGGGAGGAGTGCGTAGGATCGACCACCCCTGCGCTGAAGCTAGGCGGATCCTCAGCTCCATCGAGCGGACCCTTCCGGCTTGCTACGTGTGTCCTCGGCACGGGAAAAAATTTCATGTCGACACTAGTTTTGGCATTGTCCACCCAATGGTCGAAACTCTAACAGACTTTGCATACTTTGGCTGCAACAGATCGATAGATCCTAGATTTTTAATGGAAGACCATTCTCGCCGACGTTCACCACAGGGGTTGAAGAGTTCATGGATATGGTTAAACAAAAATGCCCGAAGCAAAACATCCCTTGCCCGTGTACACATTGTCTTAACCAGGTGGTTAAAACTTGACAGGAGGTGAAGGACAACTTACTTATAAACAGAATGTCACCCACATACACCACATGGATTCATCATGGGGAAGAGGGAGGAGGTACTGACATTATGGAGCCATCAGATGTGCATGGATCTCATCATGATGGTTGGATTGCGGAGGAGGAGGAGCAGGAGGACCATGACAATAACATATTACTAGATTTTGATGATTTAGTCCAAAACCGGTTGACATCTGAACAGCGGGCTGGAAGAGTCCCAAAGTTTGAAAGAGTGTTGGATGAGTTGAAGCAATCAATTTCTTCTAGATCTACCTTCTCAAGATTCTCCTTCCTTGTCAGG